AGGTATCCTTTTTTTATGTCGAAGCTACTTTATGGGAAAAGTGGTATTAAAAAACTCTTTCCGTTTATAATTTCTTGAAAAATATACATTTTCAGACCCAATGAGTAGTGCGACGGCTCTCATTGCGTATCAGTGTTGTCGTTGATCATACGCTCCATAATCCCTCATTAAGAATTATTGATTATAAAGTTGATCATACGTAACGCAGTAAAATCTTTAGAATTTTGACCTCTACTCTTAAATAATTTTGTATAGGTTACAAGTTGGACCCACAGATAGACTAGTTATTTCTTTGAATAATCAGATCCAGATAACGTATTAACAGCTTTGGAATTCATTGCGTATGAGTTATGACAATACCCCGTCCTCCCTGATATTAATTCGATTATATTCAAATTTTTATAATTTTGCCGCGAGGCTTTATCAACTATGTGGGGTAGAACTTGGGATTTATAGTCTATAATCATATGAATATTCAAACAGTACCATCCATATTTAAATTTACAGTCAAATAAATTTATTGAAGCGGGTGGTCCCTTGCGTATGATTTATGTCACTACTCATACGCACCCAAAGTTCTAAAAAAATATTTTCAGCTTTGGAATTCAGTGCGTATGAGTTATGACAATAATCATACGCTCCCATGGTCGTATTTGGATGCCCAGTGATATAGCCTCCAGGCTAGATCGAATGAAATAGGTAAACTTGGGAACTTATGACATTAACCATATGCTCCCGTAGTCGATTATTCAAAATTTAGCCTCTAAATTTATTTTCATGTCGAATAGCTTAGTTAACTCTCTTGGCCCTTGCATATGATTTATGATACTAGGTGGAAAACTTTTTTTCTTGAAATATGCAGTACAAGATACAAAAAAGTGAATAAAATTTGGAGTCGATGGCGTCCGATTGAGCTCAAAGGGATTCATTACTAGGCTCCTCAAATTTTTGTCTTTCCTCTAAGCTGTATTTATGTATGCAGTAAATCTGGCACCCCAATTAGAAATTCGGTCCTTATTTTTTAATAGTTATACCCTCAGGCGAATGACTTGTGACGTTACTCATACGCATACATATTTTAAATTCTGTGCTTTAGGGAAAAGTGTTTCGAATTCGCCTTGGCCAAACAAAACTCCATTTTAAAATAAAAAAATCAGTTCCTTTTTCATTTTTACCTCACAACGTTTTTCAATTTTCTGGTATTTTTCTTCTTCTTCTCATAGCTTGTCAATTTTTTTTCCTTCTACGCTATATTTGTATGTGCAGTGGCGCATAAAGATTGGGGTCTTTTTATGTGGCTGTGAGAGTGTGTGCGTTACGTTTTTTTTTCTGTTTGTCTTCTTTTGGATAAAGGATGAAACATCAGCGGAAGTCTAACACCCTCCACACACTTTCAAAAATAAAACAAAAATCTTCCAATTGACTGCGATTTGTAAACTGAAAACAAAAAGATAACACCCACAAAAAACACCGGTAACAGTTACTTTTTATTTTGGCACTCAAGGTGCCGTCTTTGGATTAGCCTCAGTAAAACACAAGGAATTTGTTTCCTTCCTGAAGATAAATGAACGAATGAGTGCTGGAGGGGACCCCCATTTATATATAGACAATCTGAAAGACACATGACAAAATACCATCATGTGCCACTGTGAAATGATGATGCGCTGCTGTCGCTGCTGATGATGGCGTTATCAGTAGAAAAATTTCATTAAAATTATTAGAATTCCAGAAATGTATGACTCCTCCAGAAAACCTCCACGAACTTTCAATCCAAAAGGCAAGCCGGAGAAGACGAAATGGGAGGCATTCATACCAATGTGAAATAAAAAATAAATTTGCTGGATTCATTCTGTTTTTTCTTTTTTTCGATGAGTGTTAACGAAAGCAATGAAGCGTAAATGGAAGTGAAGAGAAAATTTAAAATGTTTCGTTTCGTTTTTTTTTATTCGAAAAACTTCGCAGCAAGATTTATGAGCCTTAAATTGCCATAGGCTTTTGATATTTGATTTTTAAATTGAAAGAAAAGCGGAATAACTAACTTTGGGCTATGCATAAAGAAGCAACATATGTCTGGGCCTCCAGGCGTGCACATTGGTTGGTATTTAGCTGGAAATGAGAATATAAATTATTTCCATGGAATTTAAGTATTCTTTTAGGGGTTTTAGATTGTGAAGAGGCAAATAATTAGGTGTGGGAATTAATATTGGCATAACTTAAATAGGAAAAGGGTGCGTATACGTATTGACGCTATTCATACGCCACAGAGGGCAATAAAATATTTTCTTTGAAACGTCAACGAACTATTTAATGTGGCGAACATAATTTTAGATCCCTTAATTTTTTTCACCACGAGAAGGCAAACGAAAAAGTATAGAATAAAGTGTGGGAATTAATACTAAATTGAAAAAAAAAGGTGCGTATACGTAGTGACACTACTCATACGCCACCAAGGAGAAATAAATATTCTCATTGATACACTACCGCACTATATAAATTTGATTATAGCTCCCATATACAATTCTCATACGATCAGGCAGCTAACTAAATCTTCATAGTAATCAGATAAGCCTAAAGACAATTTTTTTTTTTCAAACAAGAATATTGTTCTCTCGTTTTTGGATTTTTTGACAATTTTTCTGCCTTAAATTAAAAATTTTCTTAATTATATAGTTTTAAGATTTCCCAGGGAAAATTATGTATATGTAAAATTCAAAATACCAAACTACAAGCACCCAGCTGCAATATTTTCCCCTAAAACAGATCATTACCATATTTGCGTATAAGTATTGTCATCTATCATACGCCCAAGGGTACCACAATTAAATATTTTCGAATTTAATCATTTTAAAAATTAAAACATATCTAGGACCCAACATATCAATCTACAAGCACCCAGCTTCAGTATTTCTCCTCCAAAACATATCGTTACCATATGTGCGTATAAGTATTGACAAAAGCCATACGCCCAAAGGTACCACAATTTAATATTTTCAAATTTAATCATTTTTAAAGCTTTTTCTTCAAGTCTTTAATAATCACAACCAAAAAGAACATTGTTTTATAAAAAAAATAAACCCTGTTTAAGGATTATTTTCTATGATCCTTTGCTAAGACAGAACAAAAAAATCTCCTCTTCTTGGACAAGTTAGATGCTTGGCTGTAACAGCAAAGCATTTATTTTTTGTTTAATCTGGGTTTTAAGGTAATGACTTGCATCATCAACATTTAACTGTAACAGCTGCAATCAAATGCATGGGGAGGAGAGAGGGAAGAGAGAACAAGGTGAGAGGAAAAGAAGGAAAACAGTCATGTTCCTTTCCCTTTGATAAACTATTACCCTGACAATAAAATAAAGTAAAAAACTTGCTAAACTAATGGCCAAGGGAGAGATGATGACCTTCTTGTGCCCGCTACCCTCTCTTTAGTTTCTTTATTCTCTTTCTGCCACCCATTTTCTCAATTACCATATTAAATTCAAAGTGAATTCTATTGCAGTTGGGAAAACATTTTCCTAGAATGAAACCATGAGAGCAATCACCTTAAGTAGCAGCAAGAAAATGGAAGAATAAAAGAGGATAAAAGGAGAAGAGAGAAATAGGCGAATTTTAAAAACGAAGGGCCTAACATAATCTTGGACTTAAAAAAATACCTAAGGCGTGGATTTTTTAAAAATATTTTTTTCAAGTAGTACCTAAGGCGTGGATTTTTTAAAAATAATTTTTCTAGTGGTACCCTGGGCGTGGATTTTTTAAAAATAATTTTTCTAGTGGTACCCTGGGCGTGGATTTTTTAAAAATATTTTTTTCAAGTAGTACCTAAGGCGTGGATTTTTCAAAAATATTTTTTTCAAGTAGTACCTAAGGCGTGGATTTTTCAAAAATATTTTTTTCAAGTAGTACCTAAGGCGTGGATTTTTTAAAAATATTTTTTTCAAGTAGTACCTAAGGCGTGGAGTTTTTAAAAATATTTTTTTCAAGTAGTACCTAAGGTGTGGATTTTTTAAAAATATTTTTTTCAAGTAGTACCTAAGGCGTGGATTTTTTATAAATGTATCTAAGTACCCAATGAAGGAGTTTTTTGTTGTTATAGAAATATTTTTTTTCTTGAATTTCCTAATCAACCTCAGCATACCCTCCATCTGTGTAGGGAATCCGCACAACAACAAAAATTGTTCTATATATGTATTCTAATTGGGGTAGTGAGAGAAGTCCTTCTAATTACCATGCTGTCATGGCAAGGATGGATGACTGGCTGGCTGTGTGTATTTTTTCCATATCCTACATCTCCTTGTTGCCATTGATGTACTATGGCGAACATTTCAGCTTTTGCTGCCAGCCTGCCATTCACCATTACAGTTGGTTTATTGTTGAGCAATGCCATCATTGATTTAATTATTTTTCTAGATTTTCCGTTTTTTTTTTTTTTTGCATTTGTGAATGACGTTCGGGGCAGGCAGAGGAATTTTCCGAAGCCAGACATTTGTTTTCGGTCTAGAGGCATTGAATGTGGCGAGAGAGAGGGAAAAATTCAATCAGTGTTAGCCTTTGTGTTTAGCGGTAATTTTGCCTTTTGGTGGAAAATTGAATTTGAATTCTCGATTTTATTTTTTTGCACCAGAGAAAAAAACATTGCCTGCCAACAAATGGTAAACATCATGTCCTGTCAGTCAGTAGTGAGAGCAAAAATGGCAAAAAGAATAACCATAACTAATGTTTGTAGCCAGCCAGAATTGCATTTAAATTTAATTTCCGTTTCCAATTGGCCTCCATATTTCCGGTTTTCCAGTTGGGGCTAGAATATCATGCACAACAACAACATCCTGTTTGGCTGGATATTAGGATATTAGGTTAAGTGTAAATCTTTCTTTTTTGTTTGTGATTTATTGCCTTTTTCAGTTTGATTTTCCCCTTTTTTGTTGTAAGGCCTAGAAATTAGTGAAACTCTTCCAAACAATAGATCAACAAAATATAATTTCCTTTTCGTCTCTCTTTCGATTTCAGGTCTTTCCAAGCGTCCCATGGGTCCCCAATGCCGCAAAAGTAGCTTGCCCAAACATCAAGAGGTGAAAAAACGTTTCCTGGAAATATGCGATACCACCTTCTCGGAAGAGGTGCGCAACGCATTGCGTTTGCCGGCCTTCGATTCGTACGAGTGGAGCGATGCCGATATCATTCATTTGATGCAGACCATGTTTATAGAACTGGGATTTATTGAGAAATTCAATATACCGTTGGACACATTGCGGGAGTGGCTATACGAGGTGTACAAACACTACAATGAGGTGCCGTTTCACAATTTCCGGCATTGTTTTTGTGTGGCCCAGATGGTAAGCAAAACAAAAGAAAAGAGAAAAAAGGAAACCCCTATTCCTATCCCATATACATATGTGTCAAACCTCACCTCTCCACCCCAACAAACCCCTTTTGTTTGAAAAGTCAAACCAATCAAATTTTGTTGTATATTTGAAAAAAAGGAACTACATTATTTCGTTACATGGCCATTGTGCAGTAGGGCAGAAAACCCTTATCATTTGTTCGACCATACCTCTATTTTGTCCTGCTAATGGAATTCCTTCTCTTCCGAACTTACATAAAAAAAGATGAACAATCCGATGAGCCTCCTATTGTAGTGAATTGCCATGCAAATTGAACTTCGTTCGGCTGTCATTTCAAATTATATTTGATGTGTCGTGGTTATATTTCAATAGCTTAGATTCTAATTTGATTTAGGCTGTCTTTTTTCTCTCTCTGTGGAATCCTTAAAATGCCACCCAATAAATCCTTATTGATTGTTGAATTGGAAATTAACATTTGCCAGTTTTTCTTTTTTGTATAACAGATGAAGTTTGTAATTTAATTCCCTTCTTTTTAAAGGCAGATCGTAAAAGGCAGATTTATTTTGGAAGCAAGAAAATAATAAAATGAAATTCAATCAATTACAAAGCACACCGCAATGGGTCGAGGGTTCTAAAATTAGTAATATTTGTTTGTTCGAAGATTTACGTATAAGTAATGACAAAAGTCATACGCCAAGAAGTACACCATGAGGCTGGCATATAAGTAATGTCATAATTCATACGGCCTAGGGTACACCTAGAGAATTTTGTTTTTATGTTCAGGATAAATTTCTTTTGGATTTTTTAAATATTTTTTTCAAGTAGGCGGGGATTTTTTTTAAATATTTTTTTCAAGTGGTCCTAAAGGCGTAGGCAACTTGAAAAATATTTTTTCAAGTTGTTCTGTATGCCTGGTATCCTAAGGCGTGGGTTTTTTAAAAAATATGTTTTCATGTAGAATCCTTAGCGTGGATTTTTTAAAAATATGTTTTCGTGTAGAATCCTAAGGCGTGGATTTTTTAAAAATATGTTTGCATGTAGAATCTTAAGGCGAGAAAAAAATCTGAGACCCTTAGGTCTCTACTTTTTTCTATAGAAAAAATTCTGAGACCCTTAGGTCTCTACTTTTTTCTAGAGAAACAATTCTGAGACCCTTAGGTCTCTACTTTTTTCTAGAGAAACAATTCTGAGACCCTTAGGTCTCTACTTTTTTCGGTAGAAACAGTTCTGACACCCCCAAAGTCTTCATCTTTTTGCTATAGAAAAACTTTGAAGTCCTCAGGACTTCACTTTTTCAATATAATAAATTCCGAGACCCTCAGGCGTTTTCTTTTGTCTATTGAAAAAAACATAAAACGTTCATGCCTTCACCTTTTTCTTTAGAAACAATTCTGAGACTCTGAAATCTCAACTTTTTTTATCCTATTTAACTGTCAACACGTGTAACTATTATTAGTAATTGAAATCCTCTGAACTCTTAGCTGATTTCATTTACAATTTCAATAACAATTTGAAATTTGTGTTCCGTGGGTGCGTATAAGTAGCGACATAAATCATACACCCATGGGTACTTAAATCAAAGCAATTGTAGAAGTCTGCTGCATTACTCAAATCATTTTTAGGTTCAATTTAATTTGTAATTAAATTAATTACAAATTCAATATATTAACCATTGTGTGTTAACAATTATATCATTGTGAATTGATTATTTAAAGGCTGCTCCTACACCCCCCGACCCCCACCCAAGAAGGCAAACTAAAAGGAAAACAAGACAATGTACATATTTGGTTGCCTCTATGGTTTGACACGTGTCATTTTTTTGTTTGCCAAAAACTCCGATAAAAATCATTTCCAAAGAAATGAATGAAAGCCCACGTTATTTGTGGAGGCCGGGTCGGAAGATGTTATTATGCTAAAAGCAAGCTTAGGTCTATGAACCGGCTGTTTATCCTCTAAAGAAAAAAAAAACAGAGAAAAAACAAAACACGAGCTGTATTTATCGGGTGATAAAACAAAGGTACGGTGTGTAAAACATTGTCGTAAATGATTAAAATGAACATTTTTATGAGGAATTATTGTTGTGGTTGTTGGGTGGTTTTGAATCCATGGAGAAAACATGACATTATGATATTATTTTGAAACGTTAATACTGGGTTCTTTTATTTGGAAATCCATAAAAATATTAAATATTGTTTACCACTTTTTTCTTGTCATAATCCCTTGCTAGTGTCACAACGTCTTTAATCAGTTCAATTAATAATTTTACATTCCAAACATGAATTTCGAAATGTGTTACGACCGCTAGTCAAAAGAAAAAAAAATAAAAAAATTCACCCCAATTTTTCTACTTCAAAAAATATTTTTAAAAAAATCTTTGTCCATTTTTCTTGAAAAAATATTTTCTCCCCTTCTTATTTTCCATTTCCGGATTTCTTTTTTCAGGTGTCCTTATTCCATCTATTCTCCTGCCATAACGACAGTTATTTTTTTTTCCTCAAAACTTGTTTTCGTTTTAGTGTTGTTCTTCATAGTTTTATTGGAAACCAATAACAAAAGTTCTGCAAGAATTTCACAAAATTGTTGTTTTTTTCTCTTTCTCCTTCCAACAACAACAAAAAACCAACAAGGAAAACTTGTTAAAAGTGACGCAAGTGTCAAATGGCAAATAAAAGAAAATAAGTCAAGTCAATATTTTATTGATGAAATTGTTGTTTTTTTTTCTCAGGGAGGGTGGAAAGAGTCAGAGCAGATACATTTTTGACAATTTTTGGTAAATTTTTAACGAAATTCTTCATTTCTTATTGGAAAGATTGGAAACTAAAAAGAATTTGAACTGGTCTGTCAGTCTATTCGTGTTGTTCTAAGTAGGGGAAATTTACAACATGGAATACCCTTAAATTTCAAACATAATATTTATGGCCAACATTTTTTTCTCCACACCCTGCCCTCCTTCAAAAAATATTTATTTGTCCCGCAGGAAGTTAAAAGGAGTTCCTCTCTCTCTCTCTCTCTTGATATTTATATCCTTAAAGTATTCCAATGTTTATTTTCCCAGTTAAGAAAAAGTCATTTTCCAAAGTTTGTGTTTTGGCTCAAGTTTTCCTCTGCCTGAAATTCTGTTTCTACAGCAACCACTGCAGTGTCCTGTAATAGTTTCGCCATCTTCGTAGTTAGTTTGCATTCGACATTTCTAAGTACTGCCAGTGGCATTACGTGTGTCAGGGATGGTCGTTAGCTACCCCCCATTGTCATTTTTGTTCTCGAAAAAGAGATGACACTTTAGTCCATTTAAATGTCATTGAAACGAAACAAAAATTCCGAAAATATGAAATAAAATTAGCCTTAAATATGATTGGATATGACATTAATGGGACAGACAAAAAGATAAATAAGGTTGATCAAAATAATACAATTAGGCTTTAGTTACTACGTACCCATACTTACTTAGCTGGCTTGTGCCGGAACTTTCGTTCCATATGCCGAGCTTAAAAAAGATTTCCAGGCGCGTCGATCTTTTGGGCAGTTTTTCCAATTTGAAAGACCATATTCGGCAATGTTTTCTTCCAATTGGCCTTTCCATCTTATTCTTGGACTTCCCCGTTCTGCGTGAATCATCAGCTGGTTCGCTATTATATGCCCTCTGGGCTGGAGCATCTTCATCCATTCTCACAACATGACCATGTAGTCGCTGCAGCTCAATACGTCTAACAATAATATAATAATCCTCGCCTTGGATAGTAAAAAATCTACGCCTTGGGTGGTAAAAATCCACGACTTGAAAAATATTTTTTTTTTAAATCCACGCCTTGGGTGGTAAAAAATCCACGCCTTAGAAAATATTTGTTTAAACAAATCCACGCCTTGAAAACTATTTTTTTAAACAAATCCACGCTTTGAAAAATATTTTTTAAACAAATCCACGCCTTGAAAAATATTTTTTTAAACAAATCCACGCCTTTGATAGGTTCTTTAAAAATATGGTTTTAAAAATCCACGCCTTTCAAAGGCCCTGATAGGTTCTTAAAATATATTTTTAAAAAATCCACGTCTTAGAAAGGTCCTTGGAAAAATATTTAAAAAAAAATCCACTCCTTAGAAAAATATTTTCGAGGAAATTCTCGCCTTCGATACATCCTTTGAAAAAATATTTTAAATATATTCCCCACTAATAAATAGTTGTTTTTTATAAAAACAACAAACTGGGATTAAGCCAGACTATTTTGCAAAAACATTTTAAATATATTTAAAAGCATTCAAGCCTAGAGCATGTCCAGGCCCCTAAAAGTATGCAGCGTTTGACTAACAATGATAAATTTACAAATTTTCAATTTTTCCATCATTGAATTTAAAATCCTTAGTTTTTTATATATTGACAATCCCTAGACCTGTTACCTATTTGCCGAAAACCCAGAAAAATTATCTTCTCCCCGAAATTTCTTCCAGTGTCATCGTCCACTATAACAATTGTATACAATTTGTATCTTTTGTTTTACAATTTTTTACTTAAGCTTCTTAGGCTTTTGCCGTTTTCCTAGCATAGTCATGTTGCGATGCCATTATACCAGATACCCTGTCCCTGTACTACACCCCGCCAAAGACAGAGAACTGGGTCAAAATCGTTTTTTGGTATCTTAGGACCGGACAAGGAGACGACGACGTCGGGGTACTTAAAAAAGCCCTTTTTTTCAAAAGGACAGACGGCGTGAACAAAAGATTATGATGTTGTGTAATATTCTAGCTGAGTGTAATCGTTGCATCAGCTTCTTCCTCCTTCTCCACCCTGTTTTCAGGTTTCTAGTGCTGCAGTAAAACGTTAGCATCAAACTAAAGAAGATGCCAAAAAAATACACCGAGTACATGACTTGGATAATGGTGATGACAAAAAGAAACTACTGAAAGGGAATGGCAAAGAGTGGAGTGGAGAGGGGGAGGGTGGGCCAAAGGCAAATGTAACTATTTTTACATGAACATTTCTTTTAAAAATAGCTTTGGCCAAGTGCTTGAGCTCAATAGTAGTAGTTGTAGATGTGCTAGCTTTAAAGTGGCCCCAAACTGGGTGGGTTAGCTAGATTCCTTAATGCCCTGCAAAATAGTGTGCAGGAGGTTTTGAGGGGGGTTTTGGAAAAAAAATCCTTATGATTGCATTGTAAAACGTAAGTGGGTGACTGGACTACAAAGGAAATGAGTAAAAGCTACAGCAACAGAAACAAAAAAAGAAAAAAACGAAATAACAACGTTTCATCTTTCGTTTAGAATTTATGGAATTTCCTTTGTAATGTCAATATAATTTCTTGCATTTTTTTGTTCGTTGGCATTTCCCTTTTATTGCAACGTTAAAAAACGAACGAACGAAAGACAAAAAAAAAATTGAATAACCACACTTTATTTTGAGATGACAGTACACCTTTTTGACAGCATGTCTCCATACACATGCATAAGTAAATGACAACAACCATTTTTTTTTTCTTTGCATGACAATTTGATTGATAATAAACGAAATACAGTTATGGGATTAATAAAGAGAAAATTTAAAATAAATTAAATTTTTGAGGGTATTTTTCAGAATTTTCCAAACCTATTTTTAAACAAGTGAAAAAGCGTTGCAGCAAATTCGTTCAAGAACCCGCAAATTACCGAAAATTGGGGGTACCCTTATATGGGGGCTATCCAAAAAAAATGGACCTATATTCATAATTTTCTTGTGGAGACATTTAGTACCCAATAAGAACCCAATGTAGAAAATTTCAGCGAATTCGGTGGAAAAACGCGTTCAAGAACCTCAAAATACAGTAAATGGGGGGGGGGTACCCTTATATAGGAGCTAGGCATAGCTCCCATATAAGGACGTGGACCGATAAAGCCCATCTTCGAACTTGACCTGCCTGCAGACAAAAGACGACTCTATGCAGACGCACATGGCTATATTGTCATAGAATTTTATACTGATCAAGAATATATACGCTTTATAGGGTCGGAAATGATTATTTCGATCAGTTACAAACGGAAAAACAAGATTAATATACCCTCCATACTATGGTGGAGGGTATAAAAATACAAAACTTTTAAAGGTCCAAACACGCCTCATAAGGTCCCTAAAAAATATTTTTAAAAACCTAGGCCTAATTTAGACCCCTACAAAATTTATTTCGTATTCAAATATCCCAATAAATACTCATTATTATATCCCTTTTCTTGTATATTTGTATATCCTTTCATTAGATTTGTATATCCTGTTATTAGATTTAAAGATTCCGTTAGCCTCTAAATATTCTATAGAAACTCATTGAGCCTTTAGTTCGTCTATAAAGACTCCTTGAGACTTCAGCTCGTCTGCAGAGACTCCCTGTGCTTTAAAGTCGTCTGTAAAGGCTCTATGAGCCTTCAGTTCATTTATAGAGACTTTCTGAGCATCCAGCTAGTCTATAGGGACTCCCTGGACCTCCATATAGTCCATAGAGACTACCGGAGCCTTCAGCTCTATAGATACTCTTTGGGCATTTAGCTCGTCTATAGAGACTCGCTAAGCCATTGGTTCGTCCATAGATACTCCTTTAGCCTTCAGCTCGTCTATAGAGATTATATGAGACTTCCGATCGTCTATATAGACTCGCTGACTCTTTAACTAGTCTATATAGACTCTCTGAGTCTTGAACCCATATATTGAGACTCCCTGAACCTTCAGCTCATCTATAGAGACTCACTGAACCTTCAACTAATTTATGTACATGGACTCTCTAAGCCTTCAGCTCGACTATGAATCGTTCCGCTTGTCTGTAGAGACCTAGGCCTAAATTAGACCCCTACAAAATGTATTTTTTATTCAAATATCCCAACAAATCCTCATTATTATATCCCTTTTCCTTCTATATTTGTATGTCTTTCATATGTCATATTTTTAAAAATCTAGACCTAAGGTGAACCCCTACAAAATGTATTTTTTATTAAAATATCCCAATAAATCCTCATTATTATATACCATTCCTGCTTTATGTGTATATCCTTTCATATTTCGCTGTAGATTTAAAGTAGATTTAAAGATCCCGTTAGCCTCTAAATATTCTATAGAAACTCATTGAGCCTTTAGTTCGTCTATAGAGACTCCTTGAGCCTTCAGCTCGTCTGCAGATAATTCAGGTCGTCTGTAAAGGCTCTATGAGACTTCGGTTCATTTATAGAGACTCACTGAGCATCCAGCTAGTCTATAGAGACTCCCTGAACCTTGAACCCTCGGAACCTTCAACTCATCTATAGAGACTCACTGAATCTTCAACTCATTTATATGGACTCTCTAAGACTTCAGCTCGTCAATGGCGACTTCCGCTTGTCTGTAGAGATACCTAGGCCTAATTTAGATCCCTACAAAATTTATTTTTTATTCAAATATCCCAATAAATCCTCATTATTTTATCCCTTCCCTTCTATATCCTTTGTGTATCCTTTCATATTTCCCTGTTTATTAAATTCCCATCATCATTATTAATATTTCTTATCCGTTTTTTTCATCTCATTTGCAGATGTATGCCATAACACGTCAAGCCAATCTATTACAACGTTTAGGTGATTTGGAGTGTCTCATCCTTTTGGTATCCTGCATTTGTCATGATCTCGATCATCCAGGCTACAATAACATTTATCAAATAAACGCCCGTACAGAATTGGCACTAAGGTAGGTGGCCAACCAGAATCTCTCTCACACACTCAAACACCCACACACAAATTTTCCTTTAAGCCTTTGCCTCTCACACAGCATGTAATAGAGATGGTGTAGAGGGGAACGTACGTAACTTAACCCCAATGCGAAACTTTGAAACCATTCAACCATTTGAGCCAATAAACGTCAATCAAACTCAACAATGGTGTCCATCAAACTTTTTTATGTGTTGGCCTTCCTTCAAAAAAAAAAAAAAAAAGAGGACGAAGAAGGAAAACTTGTAATCCTAGATTTAGAATGTAACCCAAAGGTAAAAAATTCATGCTGTGTTTGGAAGAGAGCGAGACAAGGAAAAAAAGGAAAAATTGTGTGAATTTTTTTGTAATCCTTTTTTCGGGAGGGTAACAGCTGTTATGGCTAAGGGGCTGCAAAATCCTTTATGTTATGCATTTAATGAACATATTTTCTTCTATTCTTGTTTCAGATATAATGACATATCGCCTTTAGAGAATCATCATTGCTCGATAGCATTTCGTTTATTGGAACATCCAGACTGTAATATATTTAGAAATTTTAGCCGAGAAGCATTCAAGTAAGTTGCAATTTTTTTCTGGATTTAAAAATAAAACAATAAAATATTATTTTTCTCTACATACATTTCTATTTCCTCTTGTTTAACTCTAATGTTTGTCTAAGTACTTTGTGAGAGTGTGTAGACACACCCACATATATATATATATATATATATTTGTAATAAGCTGTATGGCCACAAGTACCACACTTAGTTTTCTAAGTCCAACAGAAATCCTCTTGAAGCTAGCCAACAACCCTCTTTCTTCTCCTCTATAAAACTGTTACTTAGAACTTGACCAATGGTTGGGACTTGACCACTGGCAAAGGAAGTTAATGCCAAGTACTCTTAGAACACTCATGCATTCACTTACCCACACACACACACACTCTTCCGCACAGCTATTGTTCATGAACAAATTTAGTTTAAATATTTTTCTTTTTCCTGTTTTTGAAAGAGGGGGGAGATAGAGAAAAGTTTGAAATATTATTCCATGGGAAACTCTGGCCCCAAAAAATAATATACAAACTGCATATAAATCATAGAGAGATAAATCTGAACATATGCTACTGGTATTTAATTCACAAACTCGATAAAATACAAATATATAAAAATTAAATGTCACAAACAAAAGATTTGCCAGGGCAATTGCAAACAAAGAAAAAATAAAACCAATTGAAATAACAAAAATAAATTAAAGTACATATTAAAAAAAACAACAAAATAAATTAAATAAATAATAAAAAATTTATATCAATTATGAAATCAATTTATAAAATAATATTTTAATAATAAATAGCAAAACATTTTTTTTTTGAACCTTGAAAAGTGGGCAGCATTATCAGTTGAACTCCGAAACTCGTCAATATAGAAAACTTCTAAAGCAAATCTCATAACAGGGAATTAGCGTGTTTTTTGAATATTCCAATAAATTTTGTGCTTCAATTTTATATTAGAATCAATTCTGTACCTGAGTAATATACTTCACCCATAAAGACTCCCTGCTTCAGCTCGTCTACAGGGACTGTCTGTCGGTTCATTTATAGAGATTCCCTGAACCTCCATATAGTACATAGACACTTCCGGAGGCTTCAGTTCGTCTATAGATACTCCTTGGGCATTTAGCTCGTCTATAGAGACTCGCTGAGCCATCGGTTCGTCTATAGATACTCCTTTAGCCTTCAACTCATCTATAAAGACTATATGAGACTTCCGATCGTCTATATAGACTCGCTGACTCTTCAACTAGTCAATATAGTCTTCCTGAGTCTTGAACCCATATATTGTGATTCCCTTAACCTTCAGTTCATCTATAGAGACTCACTGAACCTTCAACTCATTTATAGGGACTCTCTAAGCCTTGGAGCCTTCCGCTCGTCTGTAGAGATACCTTCAGCTCGTCTCTAAGGACTGTCTGAGCCTTCAGCTCATTTATGTGCTCTATCTGAGCTCGTTAACAGAGACTCTCTGAGCATTCAACTGGTCTATAGAGGCTCATTGACCTTTCAGCTCGTCCGCAGAGACTCCCTTAGTGCACTATCTGAGCCTTCAGCTCGTTAACAGAGACTTTCCGAGCCTTCAACTGATCTATTGAGGCTCATTGACATTTCAGCTCATCAATAAAGACTCCTTTAGTCTCCATGTTGTCTATAGAACATTCCTGAGCCTTCAGCTCGGCTATAGAGACTCTCTGAACCTTCATTTCACCTATAGAGACTCCCTGAGCTTTCAGCTCGTTAACAGAGACTCTCCGAGCATTCAACTGGTATGTAGAAGCTCATTGACCTTTCAACTCGTCCGTAGAGACTCCCTGAGTCTCCTTATCGTCTATAGAGTATTTCTGAGCCTTCAGCCGCCTATAGAATATTCCTGAGCCTTCAGCTTGGCTGCAGAGAATATCTGAGCCTTCAGCTCATTTATGGATACTATCTGTTCCTTTAGCACATCTCTAAAGCCTCCCTGAGCCTTCAGTTTGTCTATGGAGCCTCCCTGAGTCTCCATATCGTTCATAGAGACGCCTAGAGCCTTCAGCTCGTCTATAGAATAATCCTGAGCCTCCAGCTTGGCTGTAGAGAATATTAGCTCATTTATGGATAATATTTGTGCATTTAACACATCTCTAGAGACTCCCTGGGCCTTCAGATTGCCTATTTAGCCTCCCTGAGTCTCCATATCGTTCATAAAGACGCCCTGATCCTTCAGCTCGTCTATAGAATATTCCTGAGACTATCTGAGTCTTTAGTTGGCGTCCCTGATCCTTCCGCTCGTCTGTAGTGATTTGTTCATCCTTCAGCTCATTTATAGGTAACTAGCAAAGTACCCGCTACTTCGTATGCGGAAAGGGAATAAAAAAATATTTCATATGGAAATGGTGAATACCGTATAATTAGTTGTACTATAGTTCTGAATTCCACCTCTATTCCTACATTTAATATCAAGTTTATTACCATTAATTACTCTTCATACACATAAGCACTATTTTCCGAAATCCACACTTTAGCAAAAACGTACAGTTTCCACATGTAATTCCATTTAGAACTTTTCGAACACCACTAAATTTAGTACCAAAAACCCTTTGGTCCTTCTTTCTAACTCTCTGTCAATGACCAACATTCTGAATTTTAGGTTTCCAGCTCTCTCCGTTATCCAAGTTTAGTGAATTTTCTATTCTATACTATTGGTACACATAAATTCGAGTTTCCAAAGTTGTCTCCATAGCTCAATACTACACTTCAACAGTAATCTAAGTTCCAAATCTCAAGATTCAACCAAATGCAAATGGTTTCAAATTTAGTACCATTTAGTAATTCTCATACTCATAGGTAAGAATTTCTAAAACTACATCAATCCATCAATCCTAATCTTACTTCCACCAAAGTCCAAATTGTTCCAAATTATTTTTATGTCCAAATATTAGGATTCCCGCTCACACAAAACGAATTGTACCATATTAAGTACCAATTAGGTCTTCTCGTATCCATAAGTACGAAATTCCAATACTTCCTTAATCTTGCAATTTTAATTACAAATTTACGTTTACTATCTCTATCCGTTAACTCGAATCTAAATTGTAGCAATTTTTTACCATTTAGTACACATAATGACGAATTTTAAAAAAAATTACCGACATATCTCAATTCTGCACTCAAACTGTAATATTAATTCAAAATTTTAGAATACAGCCCTATCCGTTCACACATTTGTAAGATTTCCGAACCCATTTAGTACTTTTTGTTTCTATAATTAACAATTTCCTAAACTATGTCAATCTTACACTCCAACAGTAATTTTAATTAAAAAATTCGGGAGTCCAGCTCTATCCGTTCATACATAATCAAGTTGTACGAAATATAGTACTATTTAGTACACATATGTACTATGTTTCCATATCTCAATTCTATATTCAAACATCAACCATTAGTCCAAATTATGGGTTTCCAGCTCTCTCCGTTCACCCAAATCCATCTAGTGCCGTTTATTACTTTTCGTACACATAAATACGAGTTTCCAAAGATGTCTCTATAGCTCAATCTTCAACAGAAATCTTAATTCCAAATTTCAGGTTTTCAGTTCTATCCTTTCAAGCAAAATCCAAATTGTACTAAATTAAGTACCATATAGTACCTTTCGTACCAATAAGTACGAATTTCATAATCTACCTCAGTCCTACATTCCAACAGTCATTTTAATTCCCAATTTGAAGACTTCAGCTCTGTCTGTTCACCTAAATCCAACTTCCACCAAATTTAGTACCATTTAGTACTTTTCGTACAAATAAGTACGATTTTTTAAAGCTAATTCCGATTATCAAGATTCCATCTCTACACACTCAACTGAATGCAAATAGTACGAAATTAAGTACCATTTTACACTTTTTATATACATAAGTACGAATGTACTTATTTCCGTACATCAACACTAGTTCCCAACCAGTATTTCATTTCATATGTCAAGATTCATGCTATATATGTTCAATATATATACAACAGGAAGTAAATTCAGTAAAGTTTAGTACCTTTAGTACACTTATAGGTCGAATTTCCAAAAACCCTTTGCACATCATTCTAACTTTCCATCAGTGACCAACATTCCAAATTTCAGAATTCTAGCTCTTCCCGTTCGCTAATAAAAAGGGTACCATATTTGGTACATTTTAGTACTTTTCGCACCCTTCTACTTCCAACAAAACTTCCTGCATACCCCGATTCTACACCCCCATAATGACTGTACACTGTAGTATGAATTTCCAAAACTTCCTACTTAACCCAAACCTACACTTCACAGAGATCCTAATTCCAAGTTTCAGAATTCCAACGCTATCGGTTCACTCACAATCCAAATTGTACCAAATTTAGCACACAGTAGTATGAATTTCCAAAACCTCCAACTTACCCTAACCCTACAACCCCACAGAGACCCTAAATCCAAGTTACAGGATTACAACTCTATCGGTTCACTCACAATTCAAATTGTACCAAATTTAGTACACAGTAGTACGAATTTCCAAAACCTCCTACTTACCCCAATCCTACACCACCACAGTGATCCTAACACCAAGTTTCAGGATTCCAACTCTATCTGTTCGCCCACAATTAAAATTGTACCACATTTAGTACACAATAGTACCAATTTCCAAAACATCCTACATACCCCAATCCTACACCCCCACAATGATCCTAAATCCAAGTTTTAGGATTCCAACTCTATCGGTTCACCCTCAATTCAAATTGTACCAAATTAAGTACATAGTAGTACCAATTTTCTAAAACTTCCTACATACCCCAATCCTACACCCCCACAGTGATCCTAAATCCAAGTTTCAGAATTCCAACTCCATCGGTTTATCCCCAATTCAATTTGTACCAAATTTAGTACACTGTAGTACGAATTTCCAAAACTTCCTACAGACCCCAATCCTACACCCTCACAGTGATCCTAAATCCAAGTTTCAGGATTCCAACTCTATCGGTTCACCCCCAATTCAAATTGTACCAAATTTAGTGCACAGTACTATGAATTTC